TTTCTAGTGCTTTTTTTTTACTTTATTATAAATGAATACACAGTTAGATTCGTGGTTCATATTTCTAGTGTCTTTTTTTTTACTAGTTTATAAATGAGTTCCCAGTTAGATTCGTGGTTCATATTTTCTAGTGCTTTTTTACTAGTTTATACATTAATACATCAGTTTAAATTCCTTGTCTTGTTTCTAGTAATTAAATTTCGTGATGTTTCTCTTAGGATTTCCTTAACGTTCACCTACTACGGTATAACACTACTGTCTCCAGAAGTGATTCTACATGGAGGGTTGTCTTTTAATGGTAATTAATACTAACTTCCTGTCATAGCAAGCAAGCTACATATAATAAATCAAACCGGCAGTAGCTAATTTAGTATACTGTTCTTTGGTTCTTACAAATAAAGATTAGAATGAATCTTTCGATAAATTGGGTACCCTTGATGTTGGCAATATTTTCGGTCGTAATCCCAATAATACCTCACGAGGTTTGGCCAGCTTGGAAGATTTAGACTAGCCTTACATCCATATACTAAGCTAACAATGCAAAGTAATATTTTATAATAAAGCTTTGATTCTAAAAACATTGAAAGTAATAAACATAGATATATATATATATATATATATTAAACATACTAACCAAAATTATTAATTAAAGTAACATGAAAGCATATATTACGTACGGAACATGTAAAACCTAGTGTTTTGCTTCATATGCTATTGTTGATTTAATGTTTCTCGAACATTCTCGGCCTTTCAGCCGTAGGAGCATTACAATGTAACGATGAATCTTACTATTCGTTGGTAAGCTCCTTCCTAACATATTTTGTGACCAATGAAAGGTCATTAAACGGCTCCGACAGTGTAACATTAGAATAGCCTGACATCCAAGATAATTTACTACGACATATGCTACTGTTTAGCTGTAGTGCTGTGTAGCGAAAAGTAATGTTGATAAAGGTACAAAATAATTGTTTGTTTGTTATGACTTTCGCACAAAGCAACACGGGGGCTATCTGCGCTAGCCGTCCCTAATTTAGCAGTGTAAGACTAGAGGGAGGGCAGCTAGTTATCACCACCCACCGCCAACTCTTGGGCAACTCTTTACCAACGAATAGTGGGATTCATCGTCACATTATAACGCCTTCACGGCTGAAAGAGCGAGTATGTTTGGTGTGATGGGGATTCGAACCCTCGACCATCAGATTGCGAGTCGCACGCCCTAGCCACCTGGCCATTCAAAATAATAAATAAATAACTAATTAATTATTAATTTACCTCAAATCTTAACGTGTTTTGCCCCAAGTAAAGAAAACGAATAAGGCATAAGTTATTGAAACAACTTCTATAAAAAAAAAAGTACAATTGTGAAGAAAACAAATATATAACATCAAGACAAAAAATATATATATTTAGGAACAGTAGACGTCGCTGATTTCTAAATCTTACACGTACACCTTTTTTGATATGTGGTTAGCTGAGATCTTTAATACATTCACATAATGTTGTTTTGGAGTGTTAGAATTTTTTCAATTTATACTTTATGTTGCTTTAAATGATAATTGTACAGTCTCAAATCCTTGTTTGATAATAACGTTGATTTTTTTTTTTTTTTTGCAGCTAGCCAACCAGAAGAAACTGAGATGCAGAATACGACCGTTAACACTAGTCTTTCACATAATTACCTACCATGTAAACCATTTACGATACTTGACTATCTAAACTTACTTTGGATTACAGCAGCAGAATTGCCTGGTAAGTTTTTACGTATTGCTAAGTTCTTACTAATAATTTCAAATATTACTTACAACAGCTTCCAAATTTCTATTATGATAATACTCGGTTTTTGTATGTTCTGAAAATGAGCAAACGTGCACTTCAATGGATGTAAACAATAGTTGGTTATAAATATACTTTAGTAGACATTTTCTACAACAACGTATTAAACGATTTTTATATGTGTGTGTGTTAAAAATTTATTTTCTTTATCACCAGAGGACCCAAAACCCCATAAATTATATTTACACTTCACCACTATATTAGGCCTAACTGTATTTCTTTGATTTCTTGACCCAAGCTATCCTGATGAGCCCTGAATAGGCAAAACTATAGTCCACAGCAGAGGGTATGGCTCGTCAAGGAATACATTAGGCCTGTACTTCATATATTTTATTTCCAGTTTCACATCGGGTGAAGAAAGAAAATAAACCTTTAACATACATATACAATAAACAGTTGGTCCCCTGTATAATACTGAATTCGACAAAATGTCATAATATTATTCCCATACCTAAATTAGTTTAGGTTACTATATGGTAAAATGGACTCAAAACCCCATAGATAAAATATATTAAACTCTTACCAAAATTTTTAAAAAAGGTCTGTTAGATTAGAATTATTGGATATTATTCTAGAAATCCTGTATTTAAAGAAGTACTGTTGCAATAAATATACTAATTTGACCGAAATTGTAATGTTCTTCGATCTTTAATAAAGTTTTGAACATATTTTTTTTGTTTGGTTTTTCAGGTATAGTCCTCAGTTGGTTCCTAGTCGAAAGATTCTTCAGAAGAAGATTAATGTTACTGTTTTTCTTGGTTTACGCTGCGTCCGTTTCGTTATTATTGGTAGACAACTTACCGTAAGTATATGTAAATAACGAGAAGATAAAACAAACTTCACAAGATTGGTGAGGATATAGAATAGTATACAAGCAAAAGTACCCGTCCCCAGTGAGGCAAAAAATTTAAATTAATATAACAATTTAAATTATTTCAGAGAAATTAAAAGGGTTAATTGTGTTGCACTCTTGGTTTCACTCCGAGCCAAAGTTCTGAGCTACTTATACCACCCACCACGAAAAATAATTGTTGAGCATTTCAGTTATGCTAAGAGCCACTCAACAATAACATACGGTAAATCTACACTCTTCTTCATTTCACATTTTCTAAGCAGTAACTGAACCTTCACTGATTTTTATTTTCCATTTTTTAAGCAGTACCTCGACCTTCACTGTTCTTCACTTACTCATTTCTAAGTAGTAACTTGGACTTTCCTCGCTTTCAGTTACTCGTTTCTAAGCAGTAACTTGGCCTTCATTGTTTTTAGTGACCCATTTCAAAGCAGTAACTCGGCCTTCATTGTTTTTAGTGACCCATTTCAAAGCAGTAACTCGGCCTTCACTGTTCTTCAATTACCCATTTCTAAACAACAAATTGGCCTTCCCATGCTTTAAGTTACTCGTTTCTAAGCAGTAACTTGGCCTTCATTGTTCTTAGTGACCCATTTCAAAGCAGTAACTCGGCCTTCACTGTTCTTCAATTACCCATTTCTAAACAACAAATTGGCCTTCCCATGCTTTAAGTTACCCTTTTCTAAGCAATAAATTGGCCTCTCTTGTTTTTCAGTTATTCCTCTTCAAGCTGTAACGTTTTGTATTTGGTTGTACAGTAAAGCTTGAAAAATCCTCAAGACGCAGCGCCATGTAGATCGTAATATGTTTAAACGATTCCCAGCACGCACAGTTTATTTTTCCATTGTAAAGTGAAATCTGATCGAAAGTGACAAAACCTGCAACTGTTAATTATTCATCTACATTATCTTTAATATTAATCATCAGTTAATATATACTATTATTGATTATTTCAAAAAAAAAAACAAAAACAAAAAAAACAGTTAAACATTCATGGAATTTTGGATTGGGAATGATTTGAAAGATATTATGGTTATCCAGAAAAACTTGGTCTTTTTTTTAACCTTTCTGCAAATGATTGTTTGTTTGTTTGTCTTGAATTTCGCACAAAGCTACACCAGGGCTATCTGCGCTAGCCGTCCCTAATTTAGCAGTGTAAGACTAGAGGGAAGGCAGCTAGTCATCACCACACAACTCTTGGGCTACTCTTTTACCAACGAATAGTGGGATTGAACGTATTTTTATAACGTCCCCACGGATGACAGGGCGAATATGTTTGGTGTGACGGGCGAGTCGAGCGCCCTAACCACCTGGCCATGCCAGACCTTTTGCAAATGAAATCAAGGTTTTAAACCATTTTACAGTTTTCAGTAAACTGTGAAATTAATTCTTTTTAGAATCAACAAGACTCTTAAATAATGCATGACTTTATGTGTGTGTGTGTGTGTGAAACATTTCAGTCACGCGAATAATATTTTGGTGCTACTATAGCGTGCAGTCTACACAGATACTATCGTCATCACAGTTTTAATGATTCACTAAAACATCGTTTCTTGCTAAATATTTTATATCTATCCACGTTTTAGTTCAACAAATAATAATAATAATAATAACTGAATAAGTTGTGTATTCCAAAAGACTACCTTATATTTAGGTTATAATTGTGTTGCACTTGATTGTTGGAATTTATTTCATCCCGATCATATTTGCCCCCAAAACGTCATGTAATGGTATGTTTTACTTTATTAGTTTAAAAGCGTTACTTATAATAAATGCCGCCAGTTGAAAATAAACGAAAGTTAAAACGGTGATGATGATGATAGTATCTGTGTAGACCGTAAGCTATAGTTTAAGAACTGACCGAGTTTTTTTTTGTATGGTGTTTTTATAGGACAGCGATTTCTCTGATCTTATTGTTTGTGGGGAGAACTTCTGTTATGGGCTGTTTCCAGATTTATGTTTTGTACACGTTAGAGGTACGTGCATTGTTATCTGTGTATGTGTATAGTGTGTACGATATTTATATTGTTATTATCCGTAAAAGGTTTCGATTGCAGTAAAGTGAGCAGTATTGTTGTTGTGGAATCTTTTGGATTAACCAGCAGAGTTGAAAGTCGGGCCGTATAAGGAAAGGAGGTTCTTGGATCTCGGGCCCTTTGAGTTGCAGTTATCGGATCGTGAAAAAAACTAAAACAGATCCACAAACAACAAATATTTAATGGCATCGTGATAATATTATACAAAACAATGCAGCGTAAAGTTTGTTTGTTTGTTTTGAAT